GCGGGTGCATTGGTCAACCCAAATGGCATGACCAAGAACTCGAAAGAACCATATCGAGTAAGAAAAGCGATCTTGGGAATATCCATATCCCGAACCCGCATCTGATGATAGCCAGAACGAAGATCAATCTTTGAGAAATACTGCGCACCCTGCAACTGGTCAAACAAGTCATCAATCCTAGGTAATGGGTACCTATTCCGGATAGTGACCTTGTTCAACTCTCTATAATCTATGCATAATCTCATACTACCGTCCTTCTTCTTCACGAAGAGGACCGGCGCGCCCCACGGAGAATGACTCCGGCGAATAAAGCCCTGAGCTAACAACTCGTCCAACTGGGTCTGAAGTTCCCTCATCTCAGCTGGTGCCATACGATAGGGTGCGCGGGATATCGGGGCTGTGCCAGGCTGCAACTCAATACAAAACTCCACCTCTCTCACCGGAGGTAGTCCAGGTATGTCCTGAAAGACATCCTGATACTCTGAGACCACTCTAGTCTCCAATAACTCAGCACCCTGATCCCGTCGCATCACCTCCTCGATGTACGCCAGAAATGACTCCGCAAGTCGATTGCCCTGAGAGCCGGCTATAATCATCTCGGACCCATCGGACGCTCGCAACTTGACAGTCTTCGCAAAGCAGTCAATACTAATATGGTAGGAAGACAACCAATCCATACTAAGAATGACATCGAACTCGGACATATGCAACACTATCAAATCCACTATGAACTCCGACTCATCTAGACTGATGATACACCTCCTACAAACGCTCTCCAGAAGTGATACCTCACCTAAAGGGGTGGAAACAGATAGAGGGGTGTCTAGGGGCTGAGCTACGAGCTGGAGTCTAGCCATAAATGCATGCGAGATGAATGAATGCGAAGCTCCCGAATCGAAAAGAATACGGGCGGGAAGAGAGTTCACAAAGAACGTACCCTCCACTACAGCTCCACTAGCTCCATGATCACGAGGAACTACCGCATAAACCCTGCCTGTGGCTCTGGAGAATATGGGATAATCTGTCCCTGGGAAACATCCTGAACTGCCCGAATCTGTCCCTCAGTCCTCTGAGCTGCTGGCGGTGCCTCAAGTCTGTTCTGCTGGCCCTGACCTCTGCCCTGCTGGCGCTGCTGGCGCTACTGGTTCGGACCTTTGCCCTGCTGGGCACCTGCTGGTGCACTGCGGCACTCTGATGCCTTATGTCCGACCTTGTGACAGTTAAAACAGGATCCCTGGAACCTGCGCTGCTGATGTGCTCTCTGCTCCTGCTGGGGTCCCCTTTTATAAGGGCCCTGATACTGCTGCTGTTGCTGTCCAGAAAAAGGTCTCTTGTTCTTGCTCTTATCCCCACTCTGTCCTGTCTTGGCCTCCCTTCCTTGTCTTTCCTGGAACATAGAGGTCTCAATCTCCTGAGAAGTGGCAGCCTCAGCTACCTCCCTGATGAATAAAATCTCCTCGACAACGATATGTCGTCGAGATTAGGGCGAAGCCCAGCAAGAACATCTGAGCCTGACGTTCTCCTGTCTGCCACATGCCTGTGAAATGTAACAGCTCCATGAACCGGCTCTCAAAATCAGCCACTTGACATATCCCCCTGAGTCAATCGGGACAACTCAAGCTCCTTCCCAGCTCCGTGCTGCGGAAGAATGTAATGTCCATCGAAGCAAATATATAAAGTCCTCCCACGTGAGGGTTCAGCCTCTGCTCTGGAGTGAACTGGAGTCGGTACCACCTCCGGCATCTCCTTTAGACTGTAGGATGCCAGCTCTCTGCTTTTGGACTGAATCTACACCGAGTATATCGAGAATGTTGCCCACATCCTCCTTCCACTTATGGGCTGCAGAGGGTCTGGTGACCCCTGGAACTCTGGTGCCCTCATCTTCTGATACCTCTCCACTATACGAGCCAAGCCTCCTGCTCTGTGGTCCTATCTGGGACTGCTAGAGGAATGGCCTGCAGGCGCGACCTCGGAGGTCTCTCTCTGACAGGGACGGCAGGTATCCCGGCCTGCTCTGAGGTACCCGCGGTGGAGATGGCCCCGGGTGTCAGCTGGCTGCTATATGAGTCGTCACCAACTCCTCAATAGCTGTCATCCGAGCGATAAGAGGAGCCATAAGGTCCACCAGATACTGAGGAGCCTGCTGCGGCTCGGGTGGAGTCTGCTGGGGCTCGGACTGAGCTGGCTGATGAGACTCTGCCTGGCTAGCCCTCCTGGTACGGGGTCTACCTCGTCCTGCCATCTCTCTGATCAAAAGAAAATAAGAGTTTATGAGTCAAAATAGACTTCTATAAATAGCGTATCACAATACAATTTTCACAACATATAGTATTTGCACAAATACTTTAAACTTATACAAAAATAGTTGTCATAAAAAAAATTCTCAAATTTTTTGAGATATACGCATATATCGTCCTCACTCATACTAGGAAATCCTTACGGACTCTATACATGAATCCTAGGAAACTCTATCCTAGCTCCACGACTCGACACAGGATGATCCTAAGGATACTGGAACTAGAGCTCTGATACCAACTGTGACGCCCCTGGGTTCACACAAGGCTGCAGTCCAAGGTGAAACCAAGAATGTCAAACCTGCTATGCACCACACCGTGCAATAACATGTTTCACCATCACAATTAACATCTATCTAGTAGAATCAACAACTGGTGTAGGTACAAAACAGGTGAGAGGTAATGCAAGGAATACTGATGAAATAATAATAGTCACTTAAATATCTCATCATCCAACCATACAGAAATACATAGTCAAGATCTGAGTAGATAAACTGAAATACTCAACAAAGTCTCAAATACAAATGTCTGACAAAAGGAAATAAGGCACACAGCCTTTACAACTTCTAGAATAATACCCTCAAATGTTTAACCTCACTACAGTGGAGCCCAAAGAAAAATAATACATAACTAGAAAGCAAAGCTGGACACTAATGTGGTCCGCTATCAACCTGCGGCTCTCCGTGCTCCTGGCTCGTGACCTGAAAGGGGGAGGGACAACGAGCGTCAAAGCGCTAGCGAGTAACATCACAACCAACCCCAAGGGAACAGGGCTCGTTGTATAAGAAAATACAGATAATATATATTAGATCTAGAATCATTAATCCTACTAAAGAGGGTTTTAGTATTTAGAAATTTACAACACGAGCATAGGTACGTCGAGCGAAATAATCCAAACAAGGAAACCCTCATGTATATACCTGGTATCTCAAATTGTAAATCTCTAAACACCAAACCCGAGGTTCTAGTACAGAAACAATAATAAAAGAAATACAGCAAATCTCAGAACAGTATACAGTGCCATACCATAGCTAACATGAATACCATGTTATTACTTACATAAGTGTCATGTCAACATCATGTCGTGAACTTCTGTGAAGAGGTCATGTGCAGGGTTAAGGACCTTGTCCAAATCAGGAAAACTATCTACATCGTAGTTTCCAACTCATAGAATAAGTGTCAAATGTCCAACACGAGGACTGGAATGAAATTATAGTCCATCACGAGGACTTCCATGGATTATAGTCCAACACGAGGACTGTGAAACTGTGAAACATGTCGCGGTGATATATAGTGAAATCTAAATTTACATCACTTCATAATCATATCAGTGTATATATTCACAATTTGTACCCTCAGGTTATCCATCATGCCTGGGTACATAGTAGGACTAAATACCAATGTCAGATAGTCCAGACAGACTCCCAAACATGAATGGAATGTACAAAAATACCCAAAACCAGGAAAATACCACAGACAGAGCGTCGGTCGACCGAGTCGGTCGACCGATCTCTGATACGAGCCTGGCGGTCGGCCGAAATAATGTCACGGTCGACCGAAATAATCGGCGGTCGACCGAAATGACGACGCGGTCGACCGAAATAACGGGCGGTCGACCGAAAACTCAAAACGAGCTCAGCGGTCGACTGCCGAGCGGACAGAAACCCAAATCTGGGTTTCTGTCAGCTCGAAACCTGAAACGAAAATTTGCAAATCTCTACGATAACAAGAGTTCTAAGGTTAAAAATCATACTGAACATAAACAACAACTCTCAGGCTTGAAATCTATCCTTCCAATATTATAAAAACATGAGAAACAATTTCCAAATCGTTTAAATGACAGTAAAAATGATTTAGTTCTTGTTTAGGCAAAATTTCAGATCTAGATCATCATCAAACAGGTATTGGGTGAGTTTTTATAAACAAAAACCTCTGATTCATACTATTATACCATAGCTAATTCGTTTCTTAACAAAAATACTATTTTGGCTCATCCAAAACTCAAAAATCCAAAATAAAGATCATGGAAAACAGGGGTGAGGGATTTGGCGAGATGATACTCGCCTTGGGTGATGACGAACGTTCTGGAGATGATTCTCTTGAGATCCAATCTGCTGAAATCCCCTGGAACTCCTCCAAACTCCTCAAAGATCACCAGTGACGGCTAGGGTTTTGAGAGGGGAGAGAAAAAGGGGCTAGGGTTTTACGTTTGAGGAGAGGAGAAACTCTCCTGGGTTGAGTTGGTATAAATACCAATTCCCCAACCCGACCCGAAACCCAATAGCCCAAAACTAAAACCCGAACCTGAAAAACAAGCTGCCTTCTGTAGGCATTTCACCTGCTGGACACATATCACTCAAAGTCTCTCATATATAAACACCTGTTGGGTTCCCAAACACTGATAAATATATATATATCTCATATATATATAGTTATCCATCACAACAGATAGGTTTATTATTATTTATTCACACAAAACTCGTTATGAAATTTCGGGGTTTTACACTACGGGCGAAGCACCTTCAAGATAAGCAAAAGCACATGAGTACTTTGTAGCTGACTTCTTAACACAAAAAACTCGGAATGCATAAAAGGTCTGTGAAGTTCACCTTATGAAGCTGTTGAACAACCTCCTGCTGATCATTCTCTCCAGAAATTTGAAACCATTCATCAAATTTTTTAGCAGAACTGAATATCTAGGTAGTAAGAAATTGAGAAGAGACCACAATTCAAAGACTATTCTGTAAAATACTAGGATTGTCAATTAATGTTTTATTTGCAGTGGAGATGGTTAGCGCTTCTACACTGCTTGCCTACTGGGGTAAACTCAGTTGCTGCTTGAGTGAAAAGTTTGTGGAAAGGAATGGTATTATTCAATTATTATAATACAGACTATGCAGGTACAAGATGATGTTATTTTCATTTTTTTTGTATGCATTGTATATCAAGATCCATTATTTTACACCAAATAGAATATCACATGCAAAACTACTAATGATTCTTGAAGTAAAATAATACACCAGCAAAAACATGTTTGCTGAATCTTAACTTCTCACATAAACCAACGCTTGACTCTACCAGACCATGAAACAGATTTGCTTTAACTATAGACTATTTACGTTAAAAGATATCATAAAATAGCAAACCTGAATACCATCCAAATAATCAAACAATAAACAGAGTAAACTGTCAAAGGGATATCAGGTAACCATCTTAGCAGAAGATCAATTATTTTGCCAATTTGCCACTGCATAATGAAAATTCAATCATGACTAACAATACAAATTTGACAAACTTAAACTAACATATACCTACATTATGCATCTTACTAGATTCCACAAATCCAACAACTCAAAAAGAACCTAATCATACAAAATTAAAAGGGTTGCAACCCTCACTCGACATCTATCTAAAATCAAATACAAATAAAAGAATAACCCTAAAAGCTGGACCAGTTCAAATCACAATATACTGGACCAGTTCAAATAACAAGAGAGCGTAATTGCACAGAATAAAACCTCAAATGAAAAAGGGAGGATCTAATTTTACCCTAGTCGGCATTAAGATAAAGAAACCGAAACCATAGAAGAAGAAGAAGAAGGAAAGTAGGGGGATCGACCTGCAATGCCTCCCATCTCCTTCTCGATCTTGGCCTGCATCTCGCGGAGCGCTGCCGCCTCATCCTCCATCTCCTTCAGACGCTTCTTCATCTCATCCAGCTCCTGCAACTTGATCCAACACAACTAAGGTTAGGGTTTCAGAAATTGAGGAAATGGGGTAGATCAAAGTTTAGAGAGAGACCTTGACGGCGTCTCCGTCGGTGCGGGTGGCCACCACCCTCTTCTCTAGCAAGCTCCTAATTGGCCTTGCACCATAAACCTACAACACAAAGCAGCAGGTAAGCAATCTCTTTCGTAGAGAGTATGTACTTACTGGATCATAAGATTCGGTTAGTACAACATCCAAAGTAGCATCTGACATAGCCAAAGCGACTCCCCTTTCTGCAAGGCGAATGGCCAGCGGCAGCAGTCGAACTTCGACGGGGTCGGATGAAGCGAAGACGAGGGGGTTAGGGATTTGAGAGTGCGGTGATGAAAATTTTGGGGATTAAGAGTTCACCCTTCTAATTATAAAAGAAAATAGTCAAAATCATTGTTATTCCCAAACACTAAAACTGATCACAAGGACTAAAATAAAACTTATTTAACGGGTTACTAATTTAGTCCTTTAGATTATCGAATGGGCTAAGTACATTAATCCTTATTTTTAACCCCTCTTTCTTAATCGTTTGCCAAACGGGGCCTTAGGATATTAATATTAAAGTTAGCATTATTAGCGCACTACTTCCAGGTACGAAGAGTATTGATTATTTTTAGATTATTACAATATTGGGTTTAGGGTTAGTGTTGTATTAGGGTTTTTAAGAAATTAGGCTTAAAATTAGGACGTTTATGCTTAGGGTAACTATATTTGCATGATTATAAAAAAACATCATTAATTGCATATAATTTTGTGATAATAAAAAATTAAAAAAAATCATTGTTATTCCCAAACACTAAAACTGATCACAAGGACTAAAATAAAACTTATTTAACGGGTTACTAATTTAGTCCTTTAGATTATCGAATGGGCTAAGTACATTAATCCTTATTTTTAACCCCTCTTTCTTAATCGTTTGCCAAACGGGGCCTTAGGATATTAATATTAAAGTTAGCATTATTAGCGCACTACTTCCAGGTACGAAGAGTATTGATTATTTTTAGATTATTACAATATTGGGTTTAGGGTTAGTGTTGTATTAGGGTTTTTAAGAAATTAGGCTTAAAATTAGGACGTTTATGCTTAGGGTAACTATATTTGCATGATTATAAAAAAACATCATTAATTGCATATAATTTTGTGATAATAAAAAATTAAAAATAAGAGAAAAGTAGAAATATTACCTTCTTTCAAGGAGGTGGAGGCTGTTGATAGTGGTCGGTGTTGAGGGTGGTGGGATCTAGAGCCCAAAAAAGAAAACAATTAGTGAACTAATCAAGGAGAAGAGTTACAAAATGGTAAATTTACAAAATATTAAAAACTTAGAGCAGATGATGAAAGAGGAGGTTGACCTGAGGAGGAGGAGGTAGCTAAAGGTTAGAGGTAAGCAGTGCGTGGTAATTTTGGGTAATCTTAGTTAGGCTTTGAGGCAAAATCCTAGATCTCACCGAGGTGGTGAGAT